ATATATAATAAAAAATGTCTACCCGGGTATAATTTCTATGTAAGCTACCATTTCATTAATAAAATTTTGTGTGATTATGGAAGAAATTGATCAATTATCATTAATATTCAAAAAAAAAAAAAAAGAAATTGATCAATTCCGGCCTATTCCGACGCTAAATTTTTGTCGATCTGCTGAATTTTGGTTGCTCCACTAATCTATCTACGTATTAGGTATTGCATATTTATTATTACATATTTATCCGATACATGAATTTGAATAAAGCATTGTGCAATCCAAATTGATCGGTTAATTTTTGAAAAAATTTTTTTTGAAATCCCACCTGGAAATTAAAACATATAAAACATTTTTCTTCAAAAGTTTTCAAAATTTGACCCGGCCGGGTTATGAGAAACAATTTGTATAGCCTAAAATATTAATAAATACCGATACGACTAGAGATGGGCACTATGCAGCATGGTGTTTAATTGTTAATTTCGGATGTTAATCTTTTACATAAACTATTATATGTGACGATTAAGCACCATGCTGCATCTCTACGACTGACTCATGATATAAAAAAAGTCACAGGGTCCAACCAAAATTCTTCTTATATCGAAACTTTCTTATATCAAAGAATTATAAAATTTTCAAATGGAACTTGTAAAATCTTTCTTATGCCAAGAGCTTCTTATATCAAATGTTTCCTATATCGAGAATTGTACGTGTTGTGTTTGTGTAACCGTGATAAACTTTTGGAACCGATGTACGTACGTAGTACAGGAATTATAGTACTATTAGTATGTTTGGAATTATCAGAAATTAATTCGTATAATTTTTAGTGCATTTTCTGTCTTTTGTAGGGTGTTCCTATAGATATTTTATATGATAAAATTTAAAGAGTAAGCACTCTTGTTTCTCTGACTGTAAAATAAATGAACTAAAATTCTTATTTTGTAATCAACGTCTTATAGTTGAATGAACGTTTACATTTGTTTTTTTTCTTCATGGTGTGTTGCCTATTTAGTTACTATATATATATCTAATATATATATATATATATATAAACTTGGTACAATATGTATGGCATACACTTTACAACCATACGGCTAGAATTTGGAGTTCGGTATGTACTTTTCGTCAGCTTATTATTACAATATACTGTCAATTTATCAATCTTCAGAATTTATCAATTCGGGAGAATAACTCTGTTGTGCGCAAAAACTGTGTTGTTCAAAGATAATATTTACGATTTAATTATTTCAATATCTTGTACGAACGTACGTACATAATAAAATTTATCAATATATATATATATCGATATAGTTGAAATGAAAATTTCATTATAGTGATAGACAATATTCACGGGTTATCAATGCACCGTACTGTACATACATATATCGATATGCATACATTGTATAACATTTGCAAAAAAAAAAAAAAAAAAAAAAAAAAAATTTAATCCGTAACATAGACAGGCCGACACTGTAATTACATATTTATTTCTTTAATCCCCAAAAGAAAAAGAATGACACGATATATAGATGCGTTTAATGAAACTCAATTAGATTTTCAACAAATGATAATGTCATTAATCTTTGTAATATTATTACTTGTTATTGCATTTATTCTTTCGACCATTTTTTTACCGTCATCACAAAATAAAGTAATAAAAAATTTTGAAAGATTTGTCTTCATTTGGTTAACATTTGATGCATTGATCCACTTAATATTGGAAGGTTCATTTGTTTATTATTCATTAATTGATACCATTGAAAGAAGCCAAGGTCCTTTAGCTAAATTATGTAAGATTTCATTAATCGTTCTGTATAATTATGAACAATTATTAAATATTAACATACATTACATTATAATGTATAATAAAAGGGCAAGAATATGGTAAAGCAGATTCAAGATGGTTATATTCTGATGCTACAATATTATCTGTTGAAATTCCCACGTCGATATTTCTTGGACCTCTTGCAATTTACATTCTCTACCTTTTGATCAATAATAATACATCAAGACATTATTGGCAAATAATCCTTTGTGTTTGTGAAGTTTACGGTTGTTGGATAACTTTTTGTCCTGAATGGTTAACTGGATCCAAAAAGTTAAATACAGAAAGCTTGGTATATTTATGGATTTATCTCGTGGTACGTGCGTATGTTGTCCTTAAGAATCTTAATATATATACTTTTGTAATGTAATTAATCCATATTGCTTTTTCAGTTTTTTAACGGACTTTGGGTAGTTGTTCCGTTGATTTTAATGCACCAGTCTTGGAATATCATCGTTAAAAATGCAGAAATTGTTAAAGAGTTAAAAAATCGTAAGCTTGAGTAGAATTAAAAATTAGGATATTCTAATGTAACTATTTTAAACAACCGTCACGTGAAATTCATTGTAAGAATCGCGCGCTGCTATATAATGAAAAAAACCAGTTTGTGCTAGACAGCATTGTGAACATTGAAACTCCGATTTATATTCCGATAAGAATTTTCGTGTTCAGAATACAAATATTTGGTAATATGACTAAAAAAAATTTGCGTCATACAATGAAATTTGAAATCCGAAATCCAGAATATTTATTTTGCAGGGAATCTTTAACGCAAGGTGTTATATAGCATTGTATATCGATAGATTGAATTTTGAGTGTTGGCCCGCCTTATGAATTTGGTAATCGGTAAAGCACGTCAATTTTACAAATAGAAATATCGATGGATTTAACCGTAATGGTCGAAAAATGTTATTTCTATGTTTACACGAATGAGAATTGTTATGGGCGTTTAAAAATTATTAATCATTTCTATGGAAGGATGTGGCGCATGCAACAAAAAGAAGGTTTCGTATGAAATGCCCGATCTTGCATTGGGTTTCAATGATAAGCAAAATCGGTAAACCTTTCAAAAATCTTTTCGTAATAATTACAGGTTAACAACAAACAATTCCCAGCCAAGACCAGTTTTAAAATTTTGCATTGTCAGATGTCTTCTCATGTGAAAGAAACAACTGCAATTCAAATACAATTCAAATTTCTACAACAGGAAGTAATATGTAAGCTGCGGTGAAATTTCCTTTTACATTAACAATCATTGAATTAACGAGGAAAAAAAATGATTATCCTCCTGGCGAATGCATTTCTCGGGAAAGTCGCAGGAGCTCGCAGAAGACTTGATAACTTTAACCTGACAATCAAAACTCTTTTGTATATTGTCTTTGTGATACTAGGTACAGGGTATTAATCTAGCTTTATATACTTTATATACTTATACGTAATATTACATGAACATATCTCACATGACCAGCAAAAAAGTTGTTATTATTAATTTTATATATAACTGTAAATCCCTTTGTTCTTTGAAATAAAAGACGAATTATAAGATAATGCTTTGTTTATTTACATATTGTACCTGATCAACAGATATGACATGGCTCTATTTTCAGGAAGCACGTGTGGATGACGGTTAGTTTTTTTTTCCACTAGCGCTAAAGCGAATACTAGGTGGTCTCCATGTCCGGCACTTTTATACTTATCCGTAATATCACTTTCAACGTCACAAATCTTATTTGCGCAACAATTATAACTGTAACAAATGATTAAAGAATACAAACACCACTCAAAGCAATTAAAGAATTCTTCGGCTTGTGAGCTTGTGATAAACCATGTGGACTTATGTGTGTATCATCATTAATGTATCGCCAATATGCGAATATGCGTTCCCGATACCTATCATTGATCATTATTCTACATATGGTTAAGTAAAAATTCTAGATAAGATGTAAAAGATCTTTTTATTTTTTACGCTCTTCTTCGAAAAGGATAAAGCGACTCTGCCGTAATTGAATTCCACAAGAACCTTTCTAATCCTGTGATCAATGGACATTCTCGAAAATTGTTGTATCGATATATATACACACTGTATATATATATATATTTCTTCATAATGAAAAAAGAAATAAATGAAGGCACATGATCATTGGTTTTACAAAGATCTTCGAGAGATTCATTATTTCGAATTATTACGCTTCATTAATTGCATGTGGGTAACCCAAAGCCCTAAATAGTTTACTATATTGATACATTGATACTACGTACGTATTTACAAATTATTATTATTAATATATAATAACATTAATAAAAATCTATATATATTTATAATATTGTCCACCCTAAAATCTATTAATTTCCTTTATTAACCGAGCTACGTATTAGTATTAGATATTTGAAGCTCTCCAAAAATAGAAATTTATCAAACAAGCTAATAAACGGTTTACGGTGATACTTTTTCCGACTGCATTGACGTCAATCCGGTTTTTTTTTTTTTTAAGCACAAAGCTTTCAATATTTTAGCCACCCTTCTATGGTGGTTCGGTTATCTTTCAGAGGGAACAAAGCCTTTCATCAAAAGCTCTCCTTTCTCAAAATTACCGCCTAATTATCTATTAACTATTATTATATTTTTATTAAATAAAAAAAAAAAAAACATATGTTTATGGACTTATAAGACAAGCACTACCAAATATAACTTTAAATTAATACAGTATCTTCGTTTTTTTTCCTCGTATATATATTAAACTGGCAAAATTCTTTTCGTATCTTTGCCAAGTAGTCGATAATCTTGGTAATTCTCCCTTTATTAAATAAAGTGCTCTCAATATTCGAACAATATTCTTTACGGCAAAAATAAAAAAATAAAATAAAATAAAATTGGCAAAATCCTTTTATCAGCAAGGACGCTGGCGGCTCCTTTCATCCTTGCGATTTACCTCCGTCACTTTCTTCACGTTAGAATAGACTTTCCCTATTTTTTTTCCTGGTGAAACTATTATACATATTTTCCTTTTCCTTATTATTGTTTTTTTGAAGTCAACTGGTATATCCTTTTATCATTTCGTATATTATTAGTGCACACAAGTTTAGAAAACTTGGCACAAAGATTTAATTACTTTCAAACTGTGGTCACAGTTCATCGCAGAAATAAGAAGCCACCAGTACAATCTTTTTTTCTATATAAACCATGACAGAGGCTCTTCATATGACGCCACAACCGCAACATTTATATGACCAACCTAAAGATTATATTTCTAGAGGTGGTTATCAGGATATAATGAAAGGTCAGTTTGATACTGCAAAGACTCTTTTGGATCAAAAACTCTCACATTCTAGCGACAGCTCAAACCAAAATAAAGATGAAGCTGGTCTTCTGGATCCATGGAAGACAAATTCCACGGATCAAGAAGATTATACAAAATCCATTAAATTCAATAAACCTTCACAAAAAGATGAAACTGTTGATAACGTAAAAAGTTCTAACAACGGCCTTGACGATTTACTCAAGAGTAGTTTACAAGCGTCTGATTTGTTTCTCGATCCATTTGGTGAAGAGAATGAAAAACTTATCCTGTCAAATTCCTCTTTGTCAGAAGAGGAAAAAAAAGCAAAGATCAACAGTATCTTTTCACGAGCTGCTAGCAATGGAAATGCTGAAAAAGTATCTCGAATGTTAGATACTGTGAGAGAATATATTGATATTGACGCCCAAGATGAAGAAGGAACTACACCATTGGTTTACGCTGCGTGCTTTGGGCATGATGCTGTTGCATTCACATTATTGGAGGCTGGTGCAAAAGTGGATGCTCAAGATAGATGTAAGTAAATTGATAATAATCTCTTACATTCTCACATTCTCACATTCTCACAGGCTTGAATTAATTTATTAAATTTTTATTTAGTCGGATGGACACCATTAATGTGGGCTACCAATAACAATCACGATAAAACCATTCGATTGTTTTTGGATAATGGTGCAGATGCTGGTGCTAAATCGGCAAAAGGTAGAACCGTATTCGATTTTATTCCACCTGAAAACCACAAACTTGCCGAAATCTTTATAGCTAATCCTCAACGTGATAGCTGGTCAAGTGTTAGTAGTATTAGTCGATGGTCTATGCTTAGTGAATCTGAACACAAATTAGTAGAACAATTAGCTGAAGCTGAAATGAGAAAGAGAATTTTAATGGAAAGTGCCTCTAATTTGGATTTGGATTTATCTAGCTTAGGATTTGATGAATCTGATGTATGTAATATTTATACTTGATTTATACTTGATTTAATATTTTATTTATTTATATTTTATTTATCTATCTAATTCCTTTAATTATTTAAGAAGGAAGAGGAAGACGATAATGATCAATTTGAATTTATGTGGAACGATTGCTTGCCAGACCAGATGATTGTCTTTGGAGTTGAAGATATACCACATATTATTAAAACAGTTATCACTGGAATGCAACCGATCAGAAATAAATCTCAAAAACCTGTACCTGCGAATGTATTATTCTTGAGTGCTCGATTTGCTCATTATTATAGTAGTCCTGAATTATTAGAATCATTATTATTCGAAGTTATTAATTCCATAGATACTGTTGTCAAGGTATGTATCTTTATATTATCATATTAACTTTTAATTGCCCCTTAATCAAATTCATAATCCTATTTTATTTTCATTTCAGACACGACCCGATGATATGACTCTTTTATCATTCTGGATTTCAAATTGTACATTATTACTGTACTATCTAAAAAAAGATTCAGGTCTTGCTAGCGCTACAGTTGAATATCAATTAAGGATCTCTGAACAACTTCATGAAACATATGTATTTTTGATAAGAGATGCCGAAAGACGAATTGAAAAAGTATTAGAATCTTCAATGTTAGAATATGATGCCATCCCTGGAATGGATGATGTTCGGTTCGAAGGTGAATGGAGGGTTTTCAGAAATTTCACTCGGAGATCAAAAAGCCCTCAAGAAAATGGCTATACAACCCCGTCAAGACCTTCATCTATCAATCTAAAAAGGAATTCCTCTTCAAATATGATACCTTTTCGTACTCCTGCATCTCCACGGCAACGAAGCGCTCCATCTCCCCGCAATATTACTTCCCTTTTATCCTCTACACTTTTTATACTTCAAACTTATGAAGTTCATCCGATGATCATTGACCAAGTTCTCAATCAGCTATTCTATTATATTTCATGTGAACTCTTTAACAAAATCCTTTCTCGCAAGAAATATTTGTGCCGGTCAAAGGCAATGCAAATTCGTCTTAATGTTTCTGTTATTGAAGATTGGGTCCGCACCAACAATTTATCACTATCTCTTATATCACATTTCCAACCTTTGATTCAACTTTTACAATTGTTGATGTGCTGGTCTCAGATGACTGATTTTGCATTTTTAGTGCAAACTACTAAAGAACTTAACCTTATTAATCCTGCACAACTTAAGCGAGTCAGTAAAAATTATAAATATGAGGTTAATGAGCCAAAGATAACCGAAGAGTGTCAACAGTATATTTTACAATTAGAAGAGGATACTGAACGACGGAAAAAGCGTTATTCAACTGAAAGTATACGGAGCGATCGAAGTGATGCTTCAAGTATCATTTACTTAACAGTATCGCCGACATTACCACCTTGTGGTGAGCCTAATTGGGAGGATGATGATGACTTAATGGAAATGAAGCCTAGTGATTCATTATTACCGTTTGCTATACCGACTAGTACTGAGATGTTGGCAAACTTTGGTACCAAGAATAAAGAGTCTGACCCTATTATACCTATTGTGCCCGATGAATGGATGGAAAAATTGGACGTTGGAATGCGACATGGTACTAGCGGTGTTGTTGAAGAACTAACATTAAAATGGGAGGCTGAATATTTGGAGGAGGATGAAGAAGATGATGGCGTATTAGAATAAAGAGGTGTTTCCAGCAATATCTAAATTAACAAACTGTTGATACGTATTTAGTCTTCATATTTGCTAATTAGCTTAATAATTGTAAAGTTTGGTTGTTTTTTATGATGTCAAATATGGGTTTTTGGAAATATATGGGTTTTGATTTTTTTTTTTTCCTTGTACTTTTTTCTTTTTATGGTTTTTCGGTCTCTTTATATACCGACAAGAATGTGGAAATTAAGGGACTTTATATAAGAAGATTGACTAGGACATCTTTGCTTTTTTTTTTTTTTTTTAGTTTGTTTAGAAATGGACATTCCCTTTGTTGAAAAGCATTGTATGGTGTAAGATTTGTAATCTCCGCCAAACCTCCGTATATTCCAACCTATTCTATTAAAAATATTTTTTTTCTATATTTATATATTTACCTTTATTTCTCATTTTTTCTTTATTTTCTATTTTTTTTTTTTTTTTGTTGTACTTTTGAAGGTACTAACAACAGGCAAAAAACCATTAAATTGAAAAAATTACTTTGAGGTGGATTACTACCACCTTCTGGAAAATGATTGAATTAATGAGCAATTTTCGATTGTTTTATCGCGTTAAATAGACAAGCTGTTAGTTATAATTATTAAAATTAATGCATAAAGAATTAGATGCTACCGATAATACTGTTTAAATTTATATTGCCTGATTGAATATTAGATTTAATAATTTATAATATATAAAAAAATCTTGAATAAATTTATTATATAATATATATTAAACTTTTAATAAAAGTTGAAGTTTTTTGTTTCATTAATAATATTAAATTATTTATTTTTAAATAAATTGGCTAAGAAAATTTTTCAGAAAACCTTTTTATATACAGTCAATCCTCGTTAATATTAACCTATTTAATTAATATAATCTCTTATTAAGAAAAAATAGGCAACATATTGACATGACAGGTTTAGGACTTTCGTATGATTGGCTGTTTAAGTCTATTTATTTATTTATTTATTTTTTTTTGAATATTAATGGTGAAGTCTATTTATTTATACAGCAGTGTGAATAAATCACCTTTTATGTATATCAAATAATTATAACGGTATATATATACTAATGCTAAAGTGCGCAAAGAAATAAAGAATATCGCAATAATCAATAAAGAAATTAAAACTCAACCTGATCAAAAAAAATCCTGAAACTTAAAGCCTTCTTCTTGGTTAAAAAAATAGGAATGGGTAGAGTATTGTAAAATTGATGAAATTTTATTTTGTAAATTGTGTAAAGAGGCAAAATATGATAATGCATTTACTCAAGAAACTAATATTTTTAAAGAGGATATTGTTAAACGACATGAAGAACAAAATCAAAAGCACCAAAAAGAAAACCAACAATTCAGACCTCTGACAAATAAGCTATTTGAAAGTGAACTTAAAGTTATTCACCAAATGAATGTCACTAAAAGAAAACCTGAAAATTTAAATATAAAGCATATTTAAATTTTTAGATTTTTTTTTAGCAACACTCAAATGAAATGTATTTATTTTGCAATAAAAAAACTTTTTTTATTTAATGTCTATCCCGATTTATGTAGTTTAATTACAAATTGTAATAATATTTCTTTAGTACTCCAATCTTTTAAGTTTTCTTTATAAAAATTAGATGAATCTAAAAATTATAGTGATTATTTAAATTCCACTGCAGCTTAAAATTTTGTTATTAATGAAATTCAATCATTGGGCAATTGGAGTATAATGATTGATGAGAGTACTTCAATAGATGAAAAATATCTTGTAATTGCTTTATATCATCTAGCTTTCAATATATCTATAGTTTGTAATTTGGGATTAATTAATTTAAAAGATTGTATAACTGAATATATTATAAAAAAATTAGAGAGGGTGTGGTGATTTAGTGAAGTGGTCAAGTTGTTGCTCCCAAGTGGCACATCCAGAGTTCAATTTACACTGATGACAAAATATCAAATTCTTCTGTATAATAGTAACTATTCAGGTGTTAGGATATATATTCTGTAATGACGGTCAGATCAAATAGGTGTAAGGAATAATGATTGTCTAACAGATAATTTATCTCGCAAGCTCTATTGGAGGTGGTAATACAAACTTGGAAGATCATGAGGCATTTGTATAATAAAGGAGTTATACAAAGGGATACAAACTAATAAAAGGTGATGTAAATCTATGATAAGTCTTTGTGACCTGTGTAAATCTGTAGGACTAGTCTTGAATAGACCCTGCTTGGCAAGTTTTGAGTAGAGAAGTAGTATATACTTTTGACAGTTTTAGAAAGTCTAAGAAGAAACCAAAAAGCAGCAGATCTGAACAAAGATTAGGTATTTGGTGAGCATTATATTAATCAGCCACTAGAATCAACTAGAGAAAAAGGGCATAGGCTGATATTTGGGTTAAGCCAGTAAGAAAGCAGGTAACATAACTTGTGAACCAAATCGAACTATCTGGATTGGGAGTTTAATAAAATAGTGGAAGAGTTTCTGATTAGATAAATACCAGAGCTGAGGTATAAGTGAACTCTATAAGACAGAAGTAGATAATGGTAGCAGAAATAAAAAGCTACAAGTATTTGTTTTCAGACTAGGCATAAGTTACTAAAATCTAGATCAGCCTAAATGTAGATATGGAAAGCTCTAGCAGGTTTAACTCAAGGTCAAAGAACTCTCTAAAATAGTTGAGACTGTTTTAAAGCTCTAAGCCAGCATATGAAAATAAGGTGGTACTAAGTATTATCATTTGGATATACAAGAGTTAGTATATAGGTGCAGAGGGTTTAAATAGATACCTTCTTAGTAGGATGCAAGTACAGTATTTAGTATAGAACCTAGTGATAGACAGATACTTAAATAGATGCTCAAAAGGCGCAGATATGGCTAGTTGTATTCTACAAATATATATAGACAGAATGTTCTGATGTTCAAAATACTACTAATATTCAAATAAAGAGCAATGTAACAAAGAGATCACCTTAACATTAAAAAAAATAATAATAATAAAAATAAAAGAATTAGAACTATTTATAGTAAAAAAAATTTATATACTGTATTATAAATACAGTATCCCTTAAACCGTCCAGATTAGCAGACAAATTTGTCCGCTAAAATTTTATAAATTCATATTTGATCTACTTTTAT